GTCAAAAACAAGTAATATCACACTATCGTGAAGAGTTGGCATCAGTTAACAAAAGTTCTAACACTCTGTACCTGTCAATTTTTAAACTGGAAATCCGACTTAAATGTTGATTAAGTGTACTTGCAGCAACTGGTTGACAGGGAGCTACACAAGGTGATGTATCACCAATTAGTTCAACAAGAGTTATTATAAAATTGGACCAATCAGAAGATAAAGTTTCATTTGTAGGATATAACTTCTCTGCGCGTTCCAAAAGTGCGGCTAATACAGATACACCAAACTAAAAAAATAATGGAAAATTTAGTTTCTGAGTTCATTATAGTACAAAAATGTTGATTCTAAAAATATAAAGAATGGATCTTTCATTTACCTTATTTACGAGAGCAAAAACTAAACTATTATTTTTCACAGGTTGAGTAGCAGATTCGGATAATGCTCTTGTAAGTCGTAGTACTGTATTAAAATCCTGTACAGTGTCAAGCCACCTTCGAAACTCGGCATAAAAATTTGTCAATAAATGTGTATCTCTACGACCTATAATTGCTAAACTTCTCAATATACAGGTCCATAAACCTTCCAACTGGCTATTGTATTCGATTACATTTAAAAGAGGTAAAAATCTCAATAGCAATGTCTATAATAAAATAAAATATAATTTTTAATAACAAAATAAATTTAATATAAATGCATAATATTATTACAAATTATTATAATACTTACTTTTCCTTTACGAATACTAAGCATACTAGCTATTTTGTCATCTTGTATTAGCTGAGAAATAGACGTTAACATCATGCAGATTAGTTCAGCACCTGTTTTTTTAACAATGTTTGTTTCTGTTTCACTATCCTGTTGTTGTTGTTCCGAAAGCACAGCTAAAGGATTATTTAAATCTTCAATTTTCAACAGTATTGTATACATCTGAAAATTGACAATCGCAATAATAATATGTAGTCAATCTTTTAATTCAAAATAAAACAATAATGCATACCCTTTCAATTTCAAGAAACAATTGTCTCGTCTTTTTGGTGTCTTTTTGTTGAGATTGCAGAGTTGAATGTGGATCACTATTGGGAACAACATCCATATCGATAATTTTACGAGGCGCAGTAACACTACTAAATTGCAGCTTCCCTAATGAATTCTCAAATTGTGCTGGGATATATACAACTTTTGATGCAACATGTTGAGGTTGTTCGCGATTTCTAAAAATAAAAAATAAAAAATAAAAAATAAAAAAATATGCATTTAAAATATATGTAAACTTAAAAATACATAAAATTTTTGTCTTGGATCGTACCTAGAATCTTTTTGAAATCCATTGTTATTATTATGTTTTTTATCTTTCTGATCTTGGTTTGCATTTAGTTTATTTTGTCTATCACAAAATACCGTATAATAATAATCATCAACATATGGTTGGTTTGTATTTAATTGTAGCAATTGAATATTGATCAACCATTGTTTTTCTCTGCTACTCATAAGACCAGCATACTCGTCATATTCTCCAGAATTATTTAAACCATTTATTCCTTGAGGATGATTGTGATGTTGATAGTGATAATATCTTTGATTATTTCTATCGTGATTACGATGAAGATATTGATTATTCTTAAAAAATGGCTGATGATTTCCTTGTTGTTCATTGGAATAAAATAATCTATTTTGGTTTCTTTGATTCCCAGGATGTGGAAAAGAATGTTGTTGGTGACCAGCTTGATTACTAGAAAATGGTGGCATCATTGGATGATCTTGACGAAGGAACTGTGGAGGTCCTAAATTAGGATGAGGTGGATGCTGTAACATAATATTAGTTGTTGAAAATATTGTTTCTCTCTAATTATTTTTAATTTATTATAAATTGAGAGTTTAAAATTTTACATACATGAAAATTACTAGTAAATGGTCCATGAATTGGCTGTCTTGGTGCTCCTTGCGGTAGCATAACATGTGGTGGTAAAGGATACCGCAATACATTAGCAGGTTGATCTAAAAAAAAAAAAAAAAGAAATATCGATTCAACTAAGTTCAAGAAATGCAGATGTTTTATTTGTATTTAATAATACTTACTAGATAATAATCTAGGATGTTGCATAAATTGTGAATGCGGTAATCTTAAATTTGGTGGCATAACCATAGGATGTGGACCAGGTAAACCTAATCCTGGTGGAAATCGAGAAGTAGGTAGGCCATTGATTTGAAGCTTGTCATTTAATGATAAAGCTTCAAAAATAAATGACCCCTCTGGCTTTTGTTGTTGCAGTTGAGATGGTTTTGTAAGACCAGGTGGGGGTCTATTAGCGATAAGACCCCGTTCCAGTTCTTCCACTGTACATACATTTTTTAAGGTAGTTGCCAAAGAAGGGGGTGGTCGAGGTTTGGGTAATGGTATATTAGGACTATCCCATACACCTGGTTTAGGTACAATTCCTTCTTTCTCATCTAATACTAAATGCGATAAACTATCTTCGATGTTGACACTGATACCATTCTACGAACAAATTTTAAAAATATACTTTTCCGTTTGTAATACTTTAGTTTCAATAAATAACTAGCTATAATAATAACCTTTTTATCAGAAGCATTTTTATGCTGCGACCTACTAGACTCTGTAATTTCTGCAAGTTTCTCATGATCTTTCTCCCAATCTCCAATGGTAGCTTCAGAACCAAAGGTTTCATCGTTTAATGCATCATATTCCTCCTCACCAAAATCATCCTCCTCCAATGGGCAATCAAGCCCATCTTCTATACCATCCTAATTCAATAAACACATAATAATTTTTTAATACCTATTCAATGTGTGGTAGAAATAAAATATACAAAATAATCCCTACATATTACAGTATAAAATAAATTCTATTGGGCAATAAATTCATAGATATATATATAAATATGTGTATATATATATATGTATGTATGTATATATATATATACACATGTATATATATGTATATATACACATATAGAAAAAATAAGGGAATAAGTGTATGAATTAAAAATAAAATCTAAAATTATTATCTTTCGAATATTTGATGTTAATGACCTTTAGGACGAATGAAACGGAAGTGAGGTTAAGGGATATATCTTTTCGATCATTTACGAAACGAAATCATGCGAACTTTTTTCGAAATTCATACCGCGTAAAAATGCCCAATAATAAAGAGCCGCGTTATAAACGTAATAAATAATAATTGTAAAAAAACGTGAATTAAATTTATAGTCATAATAATAAATGAACTATAGAGTTATTGAATAAAAAAAAATGATACATTTCTACCGCGACGCGCCTGTTTATTAAAAAAGATTAAGCACGCACTACCGGTTATGTATTGTCCATATATCATATGCGAATAATATATATTTTTTACGAAATTATTAGAATTAATTGTACTTACTAAGAGCGTTGTGTCGAAACCGAAAAAAGAGTCTGCCATTTGTTGAAATTAAATGTACAAAATGACATGTTCTGATGAAACGTCAAGTGCACCGAGAGGCATCAGCTGTCATGGCGGCTATGTTATAAACTTAAACGAATATATTCCAGATGGCGCATTTACTATAGAAGTGCATCAACTCACTCAAATTGATCTTTGAAATAAAAATACTCAACAGGCGATTGGACAAAATATTTATCGCCCTGAAATGGAAGTGGGATTTTTGATTGTCGTAATTGTTCATTTAGTTCACACCAAGTTCAAAAGATTTCTAGGTTATATAAGATAAATGAGATACGGCACTATACAAAGTATAGTACCTGTTGAATGGAAAAATATAATAAAAAGTAAACTATATTTTATAATCGATCATATTGAAATAAAAAATATTGTAAAATAAAAAAATTTTTATTATATATTAATAATATACATTATAATAATATTATAATGTATGTTATGTATACAAAATCTTGCAAAATTGTTTCGACGTTATACGTAAATATCCAATCAGATCAATTTTCGAGAAAATTTTTATGATAAATAAAAAGTTAAGGTAAATAAGAATTTTGTAACAGGATATAACATGAGCTTTAAAAAAGTGATAGAACTTATTAAAAATATTTTATATTTTAAAAATAACAAGGTTTAATAAAATACAGATTGTATTTATGTTTATATTCCAAATTTATTTTTATGTTTATTACTGATACATCATACAATTTGATATAGTTATATAGTAACATAAGTATATATATAATATACATTTTATTTATTTTATTTATTTAGTAATAATTATACGTTTCAATGAAACTTACGGTTTATACTTAATACTTTCTTAATACGTAAGGGAATTTATTTAATTTAATACATTCTTCAAACAAAATTATTATTTACTAAAAAATGTAGGATAGTTTGGTAAAAGCATTTTTTTTTTATCTGATTTTTTTTTTCAGTCCACTCTAATTCATTTCGTCCAATTGTTAACATAAAGAATTGTATTTTATTACTTAATTATCGTCTTTTAAATAACAAAAGAGACAAAATGAAAAAAATCATATTCTTTTTCCAACAAAATGTAATCGATCGATTTCCACAGTAATTGTACCATCTAGTGCCTAAACCTGTGTAACCATAGAAACAATTGCATGGAAACAATTGCATATTGGAATAATTATTCGTTGTAAAAAAAAATAAAAAAAAATAAAATAAAATAAAATAAAAAATAAAAAGAATAAAAGAAGAAAAAGTAAAAGAAAAGTATCATATGTTTAAGTTTTAAAAATTTATAATTTAAAAAAATATCAATTATTATTATTTATCCCTAGTTCCTTGAGATTATGTTTAAGATGCAGAATTAGACAAAGAAAGAATACGGTGATCTAATGTTTGCCTTTTTGTCTCCTAGAGTACTACAATTATTTGACATTGGACACATGTAGTCCGTTCTATGTATCGATGGAATATTCTTTGGAATTGACAGCTATCTTCTCTTTGTTATTATATGTACCAAGCTAATAGAAGTAAGATTTGTTCTTCTGAGATCTGTATCATATCCTTATATAGAAATTTAGGACACGAAGACATCAAAATCAATTGTCATGGCTCGTATAATAAATCAAGAAACTTATGATGAAGCTGTTAATGAAAATATCGAAATATTTTCTATGTCACCTGAGGAAGCTATCGAAGAAACCATAAAGCAATTTAATTCACAGGTATTTAAACTTTGTTTATTATTTATTTTAAAATTGATATGTGATCAAACAAAAAGTTTCCTCCCTCTCCCCCTCCATTATATTCTTAATTATTTTCATATATTTATCATAAAAATCATTTGTATTTTCATTGAAAAATCTTGATCTATGTCAATTTTAAAGAAATGAATCTATAAATATCATTACGACATAATTAGTTTATCATATCGTTTATTTTAATTTTCTATTTTACTATATATACGTTACATAATAACAAGCTCTTTCGTAATACAATATTTCTTTTTTTTTTTCTTTTTTCCTTTTATAGGGAGTAGATCTAAGCAATATCATTAAAGATTTAATTATAACGCAAGATCATGAATTAATATTGACTTACCTAGATCAGCTTAGATCTGCTCTGGCCAAAAAACATTATGAAAAAATTCCTCATGTGTTGGATAAACTTTCTGACAAATTAGATAAGGACATTGCACGTAAAGTATATGCTGGAAAACGTGGTTGTTATGGTATTTTACTGAGCATTATGAAAGATTGCAAATATGATACTTTGATACTTAAATCTGCATTAGAAACCATTACCTCATTAATGACTGGTAATCCAGATTTATTGGATGACAAAGGTGTTTCTATTCAAATGGAGTATGTAAAATATTTGATCTAATGCATTATATTAGTTTACATTGATATTATGTAATACTTATAACAAAGAGAAATTCTTTTATTTCGTAGAATATTGGATAAACAGGAGGACAAACTGGTACTACAATGTTTATTACATTGGATAAGAGCATGTTGTATAAAACACGAAGCGAATAGACAAAACATATTTAATGCTGATATTTTTAATAGACTTAAAAAGATATTAACTCGTGATGATGCGACAGCATCGGAAGTACGAGATGCATGCTCTGTAATTAGAGCACTTGTATTAGACGATGATATAAGACATGAATATGGAAAAGCACATGAACATGCGACAATTATAGCAAGGGGTGCATTGGATGTACTTACTGGTTTATTATCCAGTAAATATTATATTGTGTTATTGTTATTATTTTTTCATTTCTTTTTTATTCTTATAAATATATATATATATATATATATATATATATATATATATATATATATATTTAAGAGTCATTTTTTGTTATGATATTTTTCAATTTTGATTTAATGTTAAATAAGCAAATACTTTTATGCAAATTATATAGATATTTAAAAATACTTCTGCATGTAAAAGTTATATGCATCTTTTCGTTTCTCTCATATAGAATTTAAAAATGAAAAAACTGTAATGGGTGACTTGATGATTACACTGGCTTCTTTAATCGTGAGAAATGAATTTTGTCAGGACGTAACAGATGCGGGTGGCTTAAAATTTGTTCTGGACATTATCATTAATTATCCTGATTCAGAGAAATTAAATTGGCAAGCTTTGAAATTATTAAAAGCACTTGCTGGCAATGACAATGTAAAATCGCACATAGTGACTGCAGGAGGTGCTCCTTTGATCGTTTCTGTGATCAGTAGATTCAAGGTAACCATTTTGGATTCAATAAAACTTTGCTTTAAGAGAGATATTAATTATTATTAATCATTATAATTGTTATTAAATTTATAGAAATTTGAAGGTATTGTTGTCGCTGGACTTGCATGCATCTCTGCGTTAACATTAAGAAGTTCATCGAATGCAGGAGTGTTTTATGATTGTGGAGCACCAAGAATAATCATTGATTGTATGAAGTCCTATCTTAAAAATTTAAACGTTATAAAGCAAGCAGCTTGGGCAATAAGAAATATGTCAGTGAGGAACAAGTTGGAATGCAAAGAATTTATTGCTTATGGCGTTGAAGAAATATTAAATAATGCTCTAAAGATACATGGGACTAAAGGAGAAAACGATATAAAGGCTGCTTTAAGAGACTTAGGATTGAAGGTTGAATTAAAAGAAAGATGGACTGGCAAGGGTGCCAAATTGAATAGCGAAACAGATAAACGAACTTCATACGAATGATAATATCTTCGAAGAAATTTTCAAAAGGTTGCAATTATAAATAACAATTGAGATTATTACACTTGTTTAAACTTACATCTACTAACAATAATATTTAACATGACTGACTTATAAATTTGTGAACATTTTGCATTTATGTAATTTTTATGTCAATTTTATCTTTTTGTTATATTCTATTTTGTTTAACACATCTTTTTAACACTTGAACGCTACTTGTATATTATATTAATATATAATACATTTTTATATTTATTATATGAAGTTGTTGTTACGTAAAAACCTTTGGAAATCTTAAACAAAAAAAAAAAAATAAAAGGTAAATAGTGTGTTAAAAAGTATGTTAAGTGGACTTGGCCGATTACAAATATCTGTTATCACATATATAATTATAAAACTTTTTAAAACTAATTTCATTTTTAAATCTACAAAGGAGTACACCAATTCATGCCAAGCACACGAAATGAAATTTTAAATGTACAACTAATACCAATTTTATTTTGTGTCAGTCTGATACTCTCCTTTTAATCCCTTGCATAATACCTTTGTATGTTGATCATTTATTACGATTCCCAAAGTGTAGAGAAAAACTTGATCTTGTCATAATTAAACAAACAATATACAAAGAAAATAATATATTCCTTCGCGAATATGTTTGATGAAGAATACGATAACGATTTAAAGAATATTAAATAATGATGAATGATAATGAAAGATCATTATCATCGCATCATAGTTTTAATCGTATTACGTTCTTAGACGATACTAAAATCTCTTCGCGAGTACGATGCTTTCGTTCGACTATGTATATTCAATTGCGAAAATATACATATTTATAGTTATATAACTTGGTTAAAAATAGATCCAACGTAGATTCGTACGTTCTATGAATAACGAGACGGTAACGTTTGTGTTTTTGTGTGTTAAAACGTCGATGAAACTTTACTAATTATTTAAAAAATTTTAAAGATCATTATCATCTTTTTTCTCTTTTTATTTTTCTTTTAACATGGTTTTTTTTTTATCGTTTCAGGAATCTTTCGAATATAGTGGTAAATTAATAGTAGAAATCATATCGATATCTCATACTCGCAATGATTTTCATTATATTTCTTCTTTCTCTATGAGCATAGAGATGCAACGGGTTGCGACGATTAAGGCGCCGAACGATTAAAAATTATTCATTTATCAAATATTACGAATATATTTCATTTGTATATACCAATCTGTACTTACCAAATAAATTATTTCCTGTTAAGTTATTCAAATTATAAAGGATAATTAACGAAATAATTAACGGAATGCTGACGTTTCTCAAAAGTAAATTGTTATTATATTCTAACAATCGGAATTACTTATTATATTTCTATCACAAAACTTTTACAATTCTTTCTAATGGCCGATTGATCGTGAAAACAAATAAAAAAAAAAAAAGAAAAAAAAAAAAGAAAAATGAAAAAGAAAAGATAAAAAATAAATGTTAAATAAAATTATCGAATCGTCTTACATGCTATGCACAATGAACATCGAGCACGTTTTTTTTTTGTTTTTTTTTGTTTTTTTTTTTTTTAAGGGATGTTCGTGGAACAAAAGCTAAGTATCGCTAATGTATTGCTTCATTCATAGTATGTTGGCATCTACAATGAGACTTATACAACGATTGACTATATTTATATTTTAATATGATCCTAATAATCATGCTTTCGTGCAAAAACATTTTGTCATCCATAAAAGAAGCGTAACTTCTTTAACGAGATTTTACATAACAAAATTTATTAATAATTCTACGATATGTTTCGAAATATATATATATATATATATATAGATTCGATTTCGGATGATGTAAATTCGAAAATCTTTGTTTCGGTACGATGATATATATATATATATATATACATATATATATATATATCATATATATATATATCATATATATATATATCATATATATATATATATCATATATATATATATCATATATATATATATCATATATATATATATATATATATATATATATATATATATATATATATATATACAGGATGTCCTAAAAATAACAATTTTTTAAAGAGAATCCCATTCTTTTCTAGGACACCCTATATATACGTGAAAAGAAATTCGAACGATCTATCATCAATCCGATTTTCTATTATAATCGATTGTGAAGAATCTATAACAATGAAATTATTTTTGCGCTCATGAATTTAGCAAACGTTCGTTAATTGATTAATTATGATAGAACTAACTGAATCAGATCTCATTCTAATTTTCTATCGAAGTGAAATATTTTTCATTATATGCAGCCTATCGCGAACGTGGCAGCTAGAAATGTGATTAAGTTTAAGTTACAATATAATTATTTGATAAAATCGTATATATATATATATATATATATATATATATATATATGTATATATATATATATGTATATATAGAATATAAATAAAATATGCGCTATACTTTTTCTCTCAAACAACAGTCTTTATAAACGAGTTTTATTCGTTTGTCTTCCTATCTCAATACTTTTTCATTTTAAATACGAATTACGAGATACAAATGGCCTAAGAGAGGAGAAGGAGAATGATGATATAATAAGAGCTACGAACCTGCTCGAATTAAACGATATCGATTACCGATACGATTACTTTTTCATTTTTCAATTATCATTAATTAGTGCGAGACTAGTCTCGACATCGGCAACAAGAGTGTTTGTAATATTTCCTGTGACATAGTCCACTTTTGACCACCAAATCGCAATCTGGATACTTGTCGACGCATTCGGATGATTCTAAAACTTCTATGCATAATATGTATAAAATTATCAAATTATCTCTCAAAGTTTCAAATTTATATATATATATATTGTTATTATATGTATAGTTATATTATTATTATATAATTATTTTATACTTGTTATTTATTTATATTTTTATTATATATATATATATATTTTTTATATATATATTATATATATAAAATTTATATAATATTATATATATATAAACCATTTCAATTACTGCATAAATAATGATTTTAGTGAAAAATTTTTCAGATAAAAGTTGAATACTTTCGAAAGTAGTCCATATTTCTTTGTTAAATTTTTTTTTCCTAAGTGGAATCATGTTACTTTTCTTTTTACGGAATCATGCTTTTTAATCTATTATATATATATATAGAGAGAGAGGGAGAGAGAATTTTCGATATTCTCTATAAAAAAGTATTAATTTATGCATTTTGACAAATTATTAATTCGGAAAATATTTTAATTTAAATATTGTTAAGAAATAATTGTTTTTTAATGCTATTATTTTTTTTTTATTATTATACTTATTACACTTTAGTAAATATGTACATGACTTCTGAACAATATTGAAATTAAAATATCTTTTAAACTAATAAATTTTCGCTAAATACGTTAACACTTTTTTATACAAAATTACAAGTTGGATCTACGAATGTAATAAAAAATATTTGATTCCATTTAAAAAAACGAACTCGACCATTGTATAATCCTTGATGTATCCTCTTATAGAAAGATTAATTACATCAAATTATCTTCTTTTAGAAATCACTCAACTTTTATTTGAAATATTTTTCATTAAAATCATTACTTACATAGTAATTGAAATGGTTGTAGTGCATATATATATATATATATATATATATATATATATATACTTTTGTTATTTATGTAATAATATATTAAATATGTGTATGTCTGTGTGTATATGTATAATGAATAATTGAAGTATTTGAATTCTGTTATTACTTACTTTTTGGTGGTTTATTTAGTAACGTGATATCCTTTTTACATGGTTCCATGTTGCATCGTTGCATTTCGTTCGGTTTGATAAACTCCTTGCAATTTGAGCTATTAATACCTTCGAGGATACAACGGACTAATCTTTTTTGCACGCCACTGCCGCATGTAACTGAACACTAAGAGAAATAAATAAAATTTTTTTTTTATTTAACAAATAATTATATATACTTATTGTTAACAATTATATTTAAATATACTTAATGTTATTAAATATGTTATATTATTATTAAGTATATTTTATATTATTAATCTATTTAAATTTATAATCATATATACTTATAATCATATATCATTATAATCATAATATACTTAATGTTATTAAATATGTTATATTATTATTAAGTATATTTTATATTATTAATCAATTTAAATTTATTAATCATATATTAATTATATATTATTATATTGTTATTAAGTATACTTAATATAAATTAATTTATTAAATTATACTTAAAATATATTTAATAAATTAACTATTTTAATATAAAGTCTATATATATACATACACATACATACATACGTATGTATATATATATATATATATGTATTGTTATTAATGTTATTAACAATTATTTTACCTGGGACCAATCGGAAATATACCATTCCGCAGAACAAGGCGGTGCCTCGCAAGCCTGTTCGCTTCTTGGCTTCGTGCCATTACAGTTTTTCATTGCCAATACAGTATATTCTCCATTATCTTTTTTCATTGTCTTTGAGATGCATATTACGTTTCGATACTGTACACCAATTCCGCAAGATACGGAACACTGAAAATAACGAAAAAATTTTATATTACTAGCTAACAGATTTGAGAGTGATTAATTAGTAGACATTAAAGAAAGATAAAAGTAAAAAAAGAATTAATAAATAAAAGAAGAAGGATAAATTATTTGACGTTGTTATTATTGTATGTAAAATCTAATACTTTTTTTTTTTCTTTCCTAAATATAAAATTCTGATATTTAATAGACTAATTCATTCCACTGAAATGATTATTTATTGAAAGTATTATAAGGTTTCTATGACAAAGTGTAATCTTGTTAAGAATTTTTAAATAATGAAACATTTAATTAAGAATAATATTAACAAAAAAAAAAATAAATAAATAAATAAATAAAAAAATAAGAAAAATCAACGGTAATGCTTTTATACATTTATCTGTATGCATATTTTAATTTTAATAATCTATGTTATTTTATATTATGTTATTTTCTAACATAAACTATTTTCATAAAATTTGATATGTTTGCATGCAAATCAATTGCAATAGAAAGAATTAAAAGTATGTAACCGAGAGTTAATATCTTTTACTAACGGAAGTCCATGGACCGGTGAACCATTTAGCATCGTCGCAATTTATTCCACTTCCGAAACATTGCCTCTCAGTTTCCGGTTTCTCCTTAGGATCACAAAATAATTCACTTCCCTCGGAACAAGCCACACGTCTACTTTCGATTCCTTTACCGCATTCCGTAGAACACTAAAATTGATTAAATTCGACTATGATGCGAAAGTAAATTAAAAAAATTAAATAATTATTATTACAAAATAAATAAATTCTCAAATAATTTGAATTATTTATTATCATATTACTCGATCAATTATATAATTTTATTTCTAAATAATTATATAATTACTTGACATACAAACACACACATATATATAAATATATATATATATATATATATATATATATATATATATATGTAATTTAATATATAATTATTAATATAATATAATATAATTAAATTATATAATAAATAATATATAAATTAAAATATTATAATTATTAATATATAATATAATTTAATTTTAGTAAATAATTGTATCGTTATTTGAATTTACAGAATCCTAGTTCTCTCTCACCGTAGGTGACCAAGCAGAATATAACCATGGAGCACGTTGTTCAGAGCTTCTTTCATTTTTATTATTGACTAAACACGATGGGTTGTCACACTCTTCTTGAGATGAAGGCTTGCTTGACAATGGACATGCTTCACCGGATGTTATGCAGGTGACCGTTCGAGTTTTAAATCCTTTTCCGCAACTAGTTGAACACTAAATTGTAAAATTTATTGTAAACATATTTTAAATATGAAATAAATGATAATAAAGATTCAATAAACTTCATAACAACAAACATTTTATACGAATCATGAAATTAGATCAAGTATTAAATTTTGATTTTAATATTTAAGATTTCAAACAAAATGATATATATATATATATATATATATATATATATATATATAATAAAAATAAAAAATAAAATAAAGTAGTAGATATAAAATTGATGATACATGATAATCATCGTTCATTTGTAACAAATAATTTGACAAAGATTTAAAGTTTTAAAAATAAATAGATCTTATTTATAATTGCATCTAATATAAAAGTTATTATAAGAATAAAGTTATTAAAAGAATAAATAATTAGGTTGGAAATTATGAAACGGGCGTTTTTGTTTAGTTATTTATTTTCATTCAACACCCGTTTCATAGTTTCCAAACCTAATAAATAAATAAAACAAAAGTATTATATGATTGATCATTATCATCGTACACATTATCATTCATTATTCATTATATCTTACTTACTGGACTCCAAGTTCCAACATTCCATTTCTGCGTAGATTGTGAATAAGTTTCAGCCGTCGATGATGAAGGTATTGATACTGACAATGGTTCCATATTTCTCAGTTCAGGTGTATTCGTAATCGGACAGGCTGGCTTCGAACAAAGTTCTACGGTCTTTAAATCGGGTGGTTGAACGCAAGCACCTAACGCAACACGCATCGTCAATCTCGAATTTAATTCTTGCACACATTCGAGTTTTCTCGTTCGTCTGCCAACGCCACAGCTGACTGAACATTCGCTCCAATTATCTGCTCTCCATCTGACGCGAAAGAATAATCATTTTAAAAAAACGAAAATAAAAGGAATAATTTTTTTTTTCCTTATAATTAAACAATTTTATATTCATTTGATTCAAAATTTACCTGGCTGGACAGGGCTGTTCGTTACATCGCGTCACTTTTGAAGCAACAGGTTTTTCCGAATTACGACAACGTTTTTCGTGTGCTATTGTTTCGCTATCCTCACGCACACACGTCCAAATTGACGTTTGGATGCCTAAAACATACGAAAGATTTTCTTTATTTATCTACTTGTTACGATCAATTGTCCATCTTTGTTTTAACACAATATAATAATAGAAGCAACAAGTATCGGCATTTCCTTTATCTCTGTTTCCTCTTTCAAGTGTCACTTTACAAGACAATTTCATTTCCGGATTGAGAAATTACAAAGGCAATGACTTTTTTTTTCTTTTCCTTAGGTACCCTCATCGTGTCAATCTAAATTTAAGCAATTCGTTCTGGCCTCTTTCCATGTAGAAGTTCTATATCAATTAATTTGTTATCCGAATCGATATGATTAAATATTTTATATATTATATTGCTTCGTTATAAGACAATAAATATGTATATTATTATTAATAATAATTGTTTATATTATTATTATTCGTTAATCTTTTATAATTATTGATATATGAATATTATTAATAACGCCTGATAATAGGCAACACTTCGTATTCGGCCGATAATAGTAGGCAACACTGTCGTGCAATAATGTAACAAAACATTTCCATATAACAAAACATTTCCATATAACAAAATATTGCTTACTAAAGAGACCGAAGAAAGTTTCTTAGTGATAGATGATGTTAGAAAGCGACCTTATCGAACAAGTAACAAGTGTTGCCTACTTTTAGGCGCATAAAAAGGTATAAAAAAATAAACAATATAATTTTTCTTTATATTCAATTACTTTCAAAAGTATTCATTCGTCACATTGCAATTGTTTTAATAATGACGAGAGTATAAGGAATATCCTATGATCTTAATTAAAAAATAAATGGAATTTATTCGACGATATTAAATTAAGAAGCTCGCCCACTGGAAATATCGCAATTAAATTAAATTTAGTTCGAATTTTCGTTTCGTTTCGTTTCGTTTCGAGAGAAAGAGAGAGAGAGAAAGAGAGAAAGAGAGAGATAGAGAGAGAAAGAGAGAGAGAATGAGAGTTAATAAGTTTCCTTTAAGGTATGGTTAAATTTTAATTTATCTCCCAAACTTTTCAAGAATACACGTACAACGTTAAGTATTGATTTTAAATATTATAACCATTGAAAATGGTTATTACAATAATAAATATATCAAATTTAAAGCTAACAAAATTTGCTAAATTTAAATAAAATAAATTAAAAAGTGTTTCGAAGGATAAAAAAAGCTTATCTCCGAAGAGATTAACCTCGTGAGGAATAAACGAACTTGATGGTGGTTTTTCTCTCTCTCTCTCTCTCTCTGTCTCTCTCTCTCTCACTCTCTCTTTCTATCACTATCTTTCTCTCCTAATGTGCAATTACACCGAAACGAATGCGTCTCGATTCGCTTCCCACGCTTTACTCGATGAACGTTAAATGAACGCGGCATCTATGGCGACCTTTCATTATCCACATTTTTCTTAATTGCTTCAGGCAATCGTACGACATTTCGTTATAAAAAGAAAAGAAAAAAGAAAGAAAGAAAGCAAGAAAGAAAGAAAAAAAGAAGAGAGAAAAAAAACAGTATACGAAGAGAGAAAGAAAAGCGAAGAAAAATGGGATGAACTTACACGTTTTGTAAATGATAATAATAACAATAATAACAATAATAATAATAATAATAATAATAATAATAATAATAATAATAATAATAATAATAATAATAATAATAATAATAATAATAATTACCTCCCCCGCACTCTTTCGAGCAAGCCGTAGCTACTTTCCAGACAAACTTCTTGCGCTTTTTCTTTTTTGTTTTTGAATTAGGCTGATCACCGGCCATTACTATTGTCGGTGGACGTTTCATTTCTTCCGTTCGTGACGCGTGTCTTGTACGATCGTAATTAATAAATCCTCGCGACTGAGAAAAATCAGTTCTATGAATGGATCTAAAAGAGAACAAATTAAATAAATTTTCTATTTCTTTTAATAATTATCAAAGATAAATTATAATTGAAAATATTTAATTCGTGATTATTAAATAGTAAAATCGTCTTTGATAAAGAAAACTTACGTTCTCGTCGGGGGAGTATTAACGATTCCATGAGAACCACCATCGGGAATTTCATTGCCTCTTTGATCATTGCTTGATACTGTAATCACGCACGCAATTATGTATTAGCCATTTGATTAATGAGTAAATAATTTCTGTATATAGCCCTAGAGAGCTTTGACTATGGAATTAGAATCTGTTCATCGTGTCCCATGTATTAGATATATCTACGCGTACGATATATCATATACGATATATTAAAGTGAAATTAAGAGAGTATCTCAGTGGTTCTCAAGCTTTTGTAAAATTTTATAATTGATGATTAATTAAAGAGCATCATACTTTCTTACTTGCATTGAAAATTGGAGGTAATAAATTTCCTCCTCCTCCTCCTCTTCCTTCTCCTCCTCTTCCTCCTCTTCCTTCTCCTCCACCTCCTCCTCCTCCTTCTCCTCCTCTTCCTCCTCTTCCTTCTCCTCCACCTCCTCTTCCATCTACTCTTCCACCTCTTCCTCTTGCTCTTCCTCCTCCTCCTCCTCCTCCTCCTCCTCCTACTCCGTTTAATGTTTCTTTCAGTGGTAACATGTATTTGTAGAGAACGCCGGGATTTAATTCTTGAAATAAGATCTATGAAGAAAAAAAAAATGATCCAAGTACGTGAATAGGTATATATACATAGATATATAAATTGAATTCGAAGGATCGTTCGAAACGATTTTAACGTACTTCTAACTGCAGAGAATCGTTTAACGGTCCAGTCGCCAAGATGCACTCCAAGCGGTTTCTATCTCCCCTTTGGTATGTTAATGTCGTGCCAGCCGCTTTATAAGTGCCACTGGGACTGTAAGACCAGGGCCCGTTTAGAACGTAACTGCCATTGCTGTCCCTGAGTGCTGCAAGGTGATTGATACTTGGTTAACTTTCGATCGATTTTATTCTATCCTTTTGTTCGACGAGAACATTTCAATTTTTATTTATTCTTCATTCAACGTTTTCTTTTTTTTCTTTTTTTTCTTCTTTTCTTTCTCTCTCTTTTTTTTTTTTAAAGTACCTTGAAACTTACATACCTGTGTATTATCATTAATTCAATATATTTTAAATGTGCATAAATATGACATTATACATATAATTTTATACATATAATTATGATAATTATACACGTATAATATGATGATAATTATATACATATTTTATTTAATTATATATATTTGAAATATTTAAAAACATATTATATATCATATATATTAAAAGATTGTAAAAAAAGTATATATATTATATATGTTAAGAAATTGTACAAAATATACGCATACACAAACATACACATTATTTATATTAAAAAATTATATGCCACAAATGCCTTCAACGTATTTAAGATATATCCAATTAATTAAAACACGACACATAATATTTCTATTTCTTTATATAATAGATCTATTAATATATCAAACTAGTAATAAGTTTTTTGATTTATTTTCGATTAGATTATTATAGGAACTTTCTTTAAAAATATTTAATTTAACGTCAATTAGATAATTAAAGACGACCAGGAAAAGTGCAAAGGTTACCTAAGAAATTTGCGCTGAAACGTAACTCGGAGATGTTCAGAGACATAGCACCTTTTGGGATCGTCGTTATCGAATGATGACCCTTTGGTAGGATTGGTTCCATGAAGATACCTTCGAATAGTCTGCAACCTTGTCCTCGCCCTCCACAAACACCACAAGCATCCATCGTTGCCCCTGAACCAATCACACCGTCGCAACCTACGGACTAATATTCAAAAAAATTAATTTTATCAAAGTATTTGTATTACTTCTTTTTTTTTTTTATAAACATACATTATAACATCATCAATTTTTGAAATAAGAACCAATGAAGAAAAAGAAGATTCCAAGTACATATAATAGTACTATATAATAGTATACGAATAGGTATATAGGTTTTTTTTTTTTTAAATGTTATAATATTTCTGTATCCGATTAAATTCATATTCTTACACATATATTGTTTATTTTTGTGAATTATTAAGTGTATGTTAATGTTTATTAAATGTATATCATACTTATATGTTATATGAATGTATATAAGTATGTATAATACATTTAATTATACTCGTTATGTTACATATTTATATATTAGATATTTATATATGTTATACAAATTACATACAGTTATCTATATATTTTATATATGCTATTAACCATTATGTTATCCATTTATATAAGTGTTATACGAATTATTTAACGTTATATTAACCACCTACATACGTATGTATGTTTAACATATATCCATATAATAGAGGTATCTATGTAAACGGATGTATACATAGAGTGTAGGTGCCTACCTTGCATTGTCCAGCGACACAGAGCCAACGTTCCGTACGTTCCATTGAAATTCCGGCATTATGTCCACGAAGATTTGGACCGTCGCAGGGTGTGCCGTCCATTACTGCCGGTTCAAGCGTTGCGTAAAAACGCTGCCCGACTGCACGGCAATTGAGCGCGCACGAGTTCGGCGCTGAGGAGGAAGAAGGATAATTGCAATTTTTTTTCTTTTTTTTTTTCTTTTTTTCTTTTTCTTTTTTTTTTTTTTCAAAAGGAGCCGGAAGTTTATCGACCAACGTTCCGTCGTCACGTTTGCGACGAGATTTAAGATAGTATTTAACCGGTTTTTTTTCTTCTCTTTTTTCTTTTTTTTTTTTTTTTTTTTTTTTTTCTATTGAGAAATATACAAAGTAAAACTTTTACCATCCAAAAATGGAATCCAAGTGTAGATGTGTCCCTTGTAATTTCTTCCATTGTATCTAGCGCACTGTTCCGCTCGTAAGTCCTCGGCAAAGTTCGGACATTCCTAATGAAATTATTGAAAACATTTGATTAATTCGAATATACGAGAATAGGTCAAAAGTTATTTATGGCAGGCTAGCAGAGCCATGGTAAACAATTTTACAACTCAATTACTACCTTTCAACGCTTTTTAGATTAATTTTGTTACAAGTTGTAAAAAAGTTTTTAAATTTGTAATTTTACAATGTAAAAAAATAAAAGGTTTAAAAAATCTCGGTAAAAGAGTAATCAATTTTTTTTTTTTTTTTTTTTTTTTTTTTTTTTTAATTAATTGGGGACTTTCGACTCATTTAAGAACTTTTGACCCATTTAAAAACTTTTGGTCAACTTCGTTAATTCTAATAGAAAGTTCCTAATATTTTGATTTAACATGTTGACTGACACATAATTATTCATACATTTTGGAGATCACAATGGAATTTTGATTGTTATAAGTTTATAATTGTAAAATGTAGATTATGGAATAGGAAATAGATAAATATAAAAATATAAATATAATTTCTAATTTTAGATTTTCTAATTTTATTTTTAATTTTAATTTAATTTAATTTTACTTATAATTTATAATTATTATTAATTTTTTTTCAATTGTTTCTATTTTGTACGTATAATTAAAAAATAGAAAAAAGATTTTTCTAAAATCAATCCTTTTTAAGAGTTACATAATATTACATATAATTTTTGATTATTTAAAATATATAAAACGATAGTATAATTAAATGACATAGTAATATTAATAAATAATGTTACATTAATACTTTGATATATTTTCCTTTTCAAAGGTTAAATAATTTTATTAATAATCTGTAATTATTAATAATTCACTTTGAATTATTTCAAATTTATAAAAAGATAGTATGATTAAACAGGAAAAAAAAAAGAAAAAAGAAATTTTGTAAGATTAACAATTCAATTCAATGTCAAATTTATTTAATATTTTCTAAAATTTAATTGTTCAATATTGTTAGATGCTATTTTATAATTGTCAAAATTTAATTATATTACATAAAATCTTAACATGAATTGATTAAAATTATTAAGAATGACAAGATTTTATTAAATTAATATTATAAAAATTACTATATTAAAACTTTGCTATAATAAACAATATCTTCATATAAAATTGTTAAGAATTAAACGGTAAACATTAAAAAAAAAAAAAAAAAAAAAAAAAAAAAAAATTATTCCATTTAAATAATACAATGATATCTTGTATTAAACAATATTTCAAATCAATTAATTAATTGATCAAAAGAATAATTTCGAGGAATATTAAAATTGTAAAAAAGTTTTTTTACGAAGATTGAAAGCGAAAGAAAAAACAAAAAAAAAAAACAAAAAAAAAAACGAAAAAACGAAAAAGAAAAAGAAAAGAAATGAAAGAACGATTCGTACTTAATTAGATATTAAATCATGATTCATTGAACTACGATCTTACTGAGAAAACGATTGATATTCATGGGCAATGACCATTGTGGCGGTCAATTTGTTAATAATTTTCAAAATTGTTTTGAAATTTGAATATGTCCATTTTATTTATTAAAACGAATGTTACTCTCATGAAGAACGTTGAAGCCGATCGAAAGAAAAGTCTTTGTCCTTTGAAGAAAGAGAGATAGAAAGAGATAGAGAGATAAAGAGAAAGAGAGAAAGAGAAAGACAGAGAAAGAAAGAGAGAAAGAGAGAGAGAAAGAGAGAAAGAGAGAGAGAGAGAGAGATAGAAGAAAAAAAGGTGATCGTTCTTATGAATTTTAAAGGAACGTCGACGGCACGACGTAAATCACGGCCGAGCATACGGTCTCTTAATTGGCCATCGCGATGATTTGTTCCTGACTCGTGACTCGTTTCGCACCCCTCGGAAGGAAAAATTTCATCGTGGATTTCAAAGTTTTCTTTCCATCAAATACATTATGTATATGATAGGTATGTATTACCTGCGTATAACTTACCTGTGTGTTGCACGTATGATATCTCTTGTATGTGCCGATACAAATGGGCCTTTTGTTTTGTGTCATGCCATTGTCCGTGATAACGCTTCGTTTTCTTAAATCTTTTCTGAAATCGTTACGAATATTCATTTACATTTGAACACGAACATCATTTTTATTCTTTTTTTGTTTTTTTTTATCTCTCTTTTTATTTTTTATTTATTTATTTATTTATTTTTTTTTTTTTTTTTTTTTTTTAATGACAATAATCCACGAATTAGAAATCAATATTCTTCTGTGTTGTCAGTGTTCGCGTTTCATTTAAATCTTATTTTCAAAAATTTTAATCGAACTGATTATAATTAATCTTATTCGTTAACTTTAGTAATCTTTTAATTTTTCATTATAATACAATTTTTTATAATAATATTTGAACAATGTTCTTTTTATTTATTTGAAATATTAAACGAAAATATCTCGTGAGAAATTTTTTTGTAAAGTTTCGTTGATATTCAACTTTAATAAATGTTTGTAACAAAGAAACTTGAAAATTTTCATTTTTATCAAAAGTCAGAGTTGTGCAATTCTAAAAAAAAAAAAAATGAAAAAAAAGAACCAGAAAAACGACCAACAATTTTTAATCATTTTATACTGATGTTAAATTATACTGTTTGATAATCATAACTTCATTAAAATTCGATAAAGTTCGATTTCGTCTTATATCAATAATTTGTAATCTATCTAAAATTATAGATAGGCAAATTTAAATAATGGGTAAGAGTTTCTAATTAAGCCATATTAATATGATTATAGCTATACACCAATTAAAACTTAATAAATATTATCTTCATCTGATATTACGAATTTTTAATTCATCGAAAGTTATAGACATGCAATTCTAAACAATGGCCAACAGTTTCTAATGAAGCCATACTAATATAATTATAACTATACCTCAATTAAAATTTAATAAATTTTACCTTCATATTACGTCACGAATTTGTAATCTATCAATAATTAGATATAGGCAGATAATTTTAAACAATGACTAAGAGTTACTAACGAAGCAATAATAATATAATTATAATTAAACTCTAATTAAAATTTAATAAATTTTATCGTCATCTTACGTCATCAATTTTTAAACTTATCAAAAGTTATAAACAAATAATTCAAAACAATGGCCAACAGTTTCTAACGAAGTTATAGTTAATATAGTTTTAACTACATTCTAATTAAAATTCAATAAATTATCTGAAATCGTTTGAAATCGTAAATTGTCAATCTATTAAAAATTATATTTAAGCAATTCTAAACAATACCCAGAAGCTTCTAATAAAATCATATTAATATAATTGTAATTATATTCTAATATTAAAATTAAATTATGTCATCATCTTAAGTTATGAATCTATAAAAAAAGAAAAAAAAAAAAAAAAAGGAAAGAAAAATTACCAACGATTTCTAATCAAGCAATATTAATCCTATCATTAACCATATATCATAATAAAAATTCAATGAAATTTATCTTCCCATCTTACGTAACAAATTTGTAATGTTTCAGAAAAACAATATTAGAAATAAATCTCTATCTTTTTATTTAGAACATAGAGTAGATTAGGTTTTGCACGCGAATCGAGTCGTTGACAGTGTCTCTCCATTTACTTCGCGTGTTCGTCTCTTTATTCGAATCGATTAGAATGAAACGATCGAGGTTCACGCGATCCTATTTCTTATCGCGATCGAGGAAGAAACATGTTCGTAGGAAAGATCGGCGAGTCTTTCTTTTCGCTTAGACACGATCCATTCGTTTTCTCATTCGAACAGCTGGTTACGATTGGATCGCGCGAAAAGCTAACGGTGCCGTGCAAACGCGTCATTATCTTAGAAGCTTTGCATTCTATCCTGATCTAATCGCTGTACTATGCGAATCGATCGATCGTGAGGATTTCGCAGGGCAGAGCTGTAGGTAATCTATGGAGGTAATCGTTTCAACTTGTTCGAATACCGTAAAAAGGAGGGAAAGCTAAAGACAAGGTGCTCTTCAAGATCATTCACGATTTCTAAGTCTCTTAGGAACTTGTTGGATAATGTTCAAGGATTTAGAAGGAGAATAATCCTGAACCCGGAAATTTCAAATATTCCACAATTTCGTCAATACATAGATTACATTATTTTTTTTTTTCCACGAGTAAAATGTTGTTTTCTTTTTTTTCTCTCTTGTTTTTAATCTAAAAAAAAAAAAACGCTCCTTTAATCGTCGCATTTTTCTTTTTTTTCATTTTTACATTTTATTCGGAATCGTTACAGTTTTCGACAAATTTCGTTACGAAAAAGATTATAATATTTCTTAACGCGTATTCTATTATCAACCAATAAAAAAAGAAAGTAAGATTAAAATTAATGTATATTGTATATAATAAACATAATGTATATTGCAGTATTATCAAGCTCTTTTTTTTCATCCTAGTAAAATACTATTTATCTTGTTATTGTTTGTTTTCAGTTTAGGATGTTTATCAATAACTGACCTCAAAGGAATAACGGTATTTTTGTTCTTTTTCTTCTTTTTTTTAATTACACCACGAGAGAAGAGAATTCGTGAGAAAAAACATTCTGATAAAATAAATGTTTATTAAGTGTAAGATAGAAAAAACAGTTGTTGTTGTATTGTTACTGGTATTGTTTTTATTTCTAGGGACAAGACCAACGACAATATCGCTGATATGAGTTCATAGCACATGCGTGAACGTTGTTTCAAAACCCGTATATAAATATATAAATATATATATATAAAAGAATTGAAAAAGAATAACGTAATTGAAAACGATCAAAATGAAGCAAAAAAGCGACAAGATATTATTTAATAAATATTTTTTAATAATTTTCCTTCTTTCTCATAAATATGATATCTAATCAATCGAAAAAAAGTGAATGGAAACAAATAATTGAAAAGACAAAAAAAATTGTTTAATAAATGTCGTTCAATAATTTTTTTTCTTATTCTAATAAACATGATAATTAATTAGTTGAAAAACGAATCGAAAAAGAACAAAGACAATCAAAAATACAATAATACAATTACGAATAAAAATGATATTTAATTAGTCAAAAAAAGAATCGAAAAAAAAAAATAATCAAAAACACAATAATCTAATCTAATAGATTTCTTTTTTCATATTAAACATGATATTTAATCAATCGAAAATAGAATCAGAGACGAAGAAATAGTCAAAAACAAAAAATTGTCTAATCAATATTCTTCAATAAGTCTTTTCTTATACTAATAAAAACAATATTTAATCGATCGAAAAACGAATTGAAAAAAAGAAATAGCTGAAAAAAGAATCAAAAAAAAAAAAAATAAAGAAATAATCAAAAACACAATAATCTAATCAATATTGTTTAATAGTGTCCTTTCTTATTAAACATGATATTTATTAAAAATGAATCGAAAAAAAAGAAATAGTCAAAAACACAAAAAATTGTCTAATCAATATTCTTCAATAATTCTTTTTCTTATACTAATAAAAACAATATTTAATCGATCGAAAAACGAATTGAAAAAAAGAAATAGCTGAAAAAAGAATCAAAAAAAAAAAAAAATAAAGAAATAATCAAAAACATAATAATCTAATCAATATTGTTTAATAGTGTTCTTTCTTATTAAACGTGATATTTATTAAAAATGAATCGAAGAAAAAGAAATAGTCAAAAACACAAAAAATTGTCAAAGAAATATCGTTCAATAGATTTTTTTTCTTATACTAATAAAAACAATATTTAATCGATCGAAAAACGAATTGAAAAAAAGAAATAGCTGAAAAAAGAATCAAAAAAAAAAAAAGAGAAAAGTAAAGAAATAATCAAAAACACAATAATCTAATCAATATTGTTTAATAGTGTTCTTTCTTATTAAACATGATATTTATTAAAAATGAATCGAAGAAAAAGAAATAGTCAAAAACACAAAAAATTGTCAAAGAAATATTTTCCAATAATTCTCTCTCTCTCTCTTTCTCCTTCTCTGTCTCATATAAGCATATTTAATTATTTGAAAAACAAGTCAAGCCGTTCTCGATAATCTCTCTTACCGAAGAGGAACGCATTCTCGTGATTGAGATTGGATACCCGTGCCACAGGTTCTTGAACATTCGCTCCAGCTGCTCCAGGTACCCCAAGTACCTCTCACACGATTCTCCCGACCAATTCCAAATTGAGTTCTCTCCTGTAGCATATGATAAACCTGGAAGATAAACGAGAATAATCAGAGGAAAGGATGAAACTCGGCATTTTACTTGGTCAACTTGGAGTTTATTGGCAACACGCAAAGCGTTAAATCCAGTCAATGCGTGAACGCGCGTAAGGTAAAGGGCGTGAGGTGAAGAGGGGAGAGAAGGAATAGTGGCAAGGAGAAGAAGAAGAAGAAGAAGAAGAAGAAGAGGAAAGCAAAAAAAGGAAACGAGTTCGTTTCTCGGTGATAATAATTAAATCGACGTGAGAAAAACGATACTACCGATTTCATAGTAATCGCATTTCGAATATCAAACAGACATATCGGAGTCACTTGTTTGTATAATTAATGCAGATATTGGGGATCGAAGTATATAGTGCATATTGGAATATTCGTATTGGAATATACGTACGATCGAACATCAGGTGGCATGCTTATTTCTATCGATTTATCGAACGAAACTCAATCTATGTATATTACTTATAATTAATTATTTACGTTATATATATATATATATATATATATATATATATATATATATACGTGTATTCGAGACTTCGAACGATCTTTCTTTATATATTGACTGTGTGAGTATGATCGTTGTAATTAAATCAACTTTTCTGTCATTTCTTTTCGTAATGTCTTTACATATCATACATATATTTGCGATTTCAAAGGATTTTTTTTTTTTTTTTTTAATGAGTATGCCGAGTGTACGAGTCTTAATTGTAATTGAAGTAATATATCGTAAGATTTAAATTTAAATAAAATCAATATAAAGTTACGAATAAAATTTCTAATACTCTTGTATGGTTTTCTATTTTCAAAGCACCTATGTAATATTACATATAATTTACAATTATTATTAATTCATTGACGGTTATGAACAAATTATTGACATAAATAAAAAAGGATTTCTATAAGATTAAAGTTTCAACACAGACAATTTAATGTTTTTTCTTTTTCTTCAAAAATAAAATAATTTACTTATAATTAACAATGATTATTATTAATCTATTGTCAATTATTTCAAATTTGTGAAACTATAGTAAATTGAGTACAAAAAAAGATTTTTGTAAAATTAACAATTCAACAAAAACTATATTGTCTGTCTATTTCAAATGCTATTTATTATTATCAATAATATTTTCAATTATTATTAATTTATTGTAAGTTATTTCAAATTTGTAAAAGTATAAATAATATAATATAAAAAATAAATAATATAAAAAAGATTTTTATAAATTCAACGATTAAATTTAAGACATTTTATTGTATCTATTTCAAATATTATTTAATATTACTTATACGTTCCATTTATTGCTGATCTATTGTCAGTTATATCAAATTTATAAAACGATAGTATAATTAAACAGCATAAAAATGATTTTTGTAAAATCAACAATTAATTTGTACACACACCGTATTGTCTATCCTATTTCAAATATTTATTACTTAATGTCATATATATATTATCCAATTATTTTTAACTTAAAAAAGATTGGAAAATAGAAAAACTTTACCACGCGACAATATTTTGAAACGTTAGATATTATATACATATGTAATTTGACGTTGACAGTTATCTTATGTTATAAAATACGTCGTAATTATGTTTTTTCCGTACGGAAATATCTACGTACTATGTTCTCTTCGCGGAAAGATCGTTTATACAGTTTTGTTTTTGTCTAACTTTAATCAAACGGATTACTAGAACCGTTTCATTTCGAGGGCACGTTTGGCGATATTCCGGTGAAATACGATATGATAACGCCGGACGCGATATCACGTATTTGCGTTTTGCAATTTACCCTCGCTTACCGTTTTAAGAAACGTCCTTGCAAACGAGCTCGGCTTTTGCCCGTTCGTAATTTAGGAATCTGCTCGGTGTCAATTAATCATTCTTCTCGTACCACCCAAGAATAACGTCGACGTAATTTTCGTATTAATTCACATAACTGGATTAAATTAATATTCAACGAAAGATGGAATGCCAAGGAGAAGATATCGTATTTGTGGAATAACGTAATCATGATTAAAGTTATCGCGATCTTGAACGAAGTACAAAAAGTCGGAATATATTATTTTTAGATTTAAACGTCACAAATATTTACGTTATACTATTTACAAAAAAAAAAAATCTTTGATTTATTTAATACAAATAAATTGATTATAATATTAATCAAGAAAAATTATTCACCTGTGTGAAAACTTACTTCGATCGGATACTTTTCTGGTATATATGAAGATGATACGTTGACGAGCATGAGTGCGATGAAAATCAGTATCGATCTGAAATAAAAAATGATCCAACTGGAATTTTCGAAAAATATATTGATTTTGTTGATCATATTGTTAGATATATATAGTTATGTATATATTATATAATGTGACAACTATTAACAACTGTTAATCGTTATTTTCAACATTAGAACTATCAAATTTATCGAAAATGACGAGTTTTTCTTTTTCTTTATTTATTATTGTAAAATTAAGTAAATTAAAAATAATAACGAACGAAGTGTTCTTTTATTTTCTCAAATAACTATCAAATTGATAAATGTGGTCTAAATAGATCAATAGTTCTATTGTTAACGCGTTGTCTGGTCAATCATTTTTATATAAATTGATATACTTATTTAATAATAACGTTAATTTTCATAATATTTTTGTTTTTTTATTTTACCGTCATATTTACATTATATTGAATTATATTATATTGATTTATATTTTAATACATATATATATATATATTTATTTATTTATTATTATATATTATTATTATATTATATATATATATATATATATATATATGTATTTTTATTTTAAGTAAGTTTTATATTATATAAAAAAAAAAGAAAAAAAAAGAATAAATCTTAAAAAGATTTTAATTATACTCAACAAAATTAAATGTTAGTTTTTCCCATAAGGTATACTCAACATGTTAAAATAATATCATAAATGATCGCGAAGCAAGCATCATAGCATGTACTATGACGAAGATAAAACCATAAACGATTCGCGTTTCTTCGGCAATTACCACACGTGTATCTTTCGTGTTGAGGAATATTAGATAGAACGTGCCGCAGAAATGGTTGAGTTCTACGAGCCTGCGAATCGTTGAGTGCGTTTGTCGGTGGCAGTGATCCTCTTATCTCTCTTATCTCCCACCCATCTCGCTTCGTTAAACTAGAAATCTCAAGAACGCGGTTTTAACCTTTTCCAGATGGGCACGCCAAGCGTAGAATTTCCCTGATGTTACTTTGAACGACTTGGTATAAAAGTGGTTTATTTTTAATAATAATTTTCCACTTGGGAGATATTAGCTCTAGAAATGGCTACATCAATCTAGAACATTAACACTAGATTTACTAAAAGGGTCAAGATAATTTGTTTGACATATTATTTTAATGATTTAACAGAACTCGTTTTTAGTATATCTTATTTTCTGCAATTTTTTTTTTTATTTCTGACGTAATAATAATTAATTTTATAAGCGTGCTTTTTCTTTTCTATATCTTTTGTCTAATATTTATAATATGTAATATTCTCTCTCTCTCTCTCTCTCTCTCTCTCTCTCTCTCTCTCTCTCTCTCTCTCTTTCTTTCTATATACAGTAAATACCGAGATGGATGATTTTAATCATTCACAGAATATAAGATAAAATTTTGATTTCATTGCAATTATAAAAAGTTTCTCGTAATATTTCTCGATTGTATCAATATCATTTAGAGAACTATTAATATCTTCGATTAAATTTGTTCTTTTCTAGAAATTAAATGTGAACTATATAACTATAATAATTTCGAAAATGAAATTTTTCCCGTATTAAATGATCGTTCATAAAAAAAAGATTCATAACCACGGTCAATTTATCGTATAGAATTTCCCTATATGGTACTTTTGAACGACTTGTAAATATTGCATTAGTTGCGCAGATGTATGCACCTACTAATAAAAATTTTTTTTTTGTTTTTCTACGATCATAAGAACGCTGATCATTATGAATCGTTTGGTAAGTAAGTAACCGATCGGAAGTAGTCGTTCTTTCACGATGAGGAATCATGATGAAAATCGAAGGATGCTGAGATTACCTTTTAATCTTGAACGAGAGGCCGTCTCGATTCGCTATCCGAGAAGCTACTGGATCGGTAGGCGCCACTCCATTTCGCTACGGTAATCGTTAATAGCGTAAAGGCTCGTCCGTAGAAGAAGAAGAAGAAGAAGAAGAAGAAGAAGAAGAAGAAGAAGAAGAAGAAGAAGAAGAAGAAGAAGAAGAAGAAGAAGAAGAAGAAGAAGAGAAAGAAGAAGAAAAGAAGAAAAAGAATAAGAAGAGGGCGAAGAAGACGAAGAAGATGAAGAAGAAGAAGAAAACAGGAGAAAAAGGACAAGAAAAAGAAGAAGAAGAAGAAGGAAGGAGGAGCACAGTGACGTTCGTCGTTCGAGTAAACTGTGCCACTAAGCGCTAATAAAGTTTCACTTGTAGCGTTTTCTTGGAAAGCTTAATTAATCATTACGCTTGGCCCGGAGCGTGTTCGTACTTAAGAGTGAGAGAGAGAGAGAGAGAGAGAGAGAGAGAGAGAGAAAGAGAAAGAAAGACAACGGGAATAGAGCAGTTAGTGCATAGAGAAAAATATAGTAGATTGAGAGTAGCCACTGGTATTCGCTTAAAATCAGAAAACTTGCTCGCCATCTCGGCTTTCCACGCGATGCGTTCATAAATGATGCGTAAGAGTGGGACGTCTCGGTACGTGCGAGAGAAGCGACGAAGCATCGCACGCGTACGAGAGAGAGAAAGAAAAAGAGAGAGAGAGAGAGAGAGAGAGAGACCGCTTTGCAAGAGAAAACGCGGTAAGATCGGCGAGTTTTTGATTTTCTTTCTTCGTTTTGCCATTCGGGGTCACGCTCGAGAGAACTCGCGTGTAGAATCTTGTTTCAAAGTCGTCGAGCTTGTTCGTTGGTTAAAATCGAAGATGTTAAGGGGAGTTTGGAGGAAAGGAGAAAAGAAAAGTACGAAAAAGGGGGTAAAAAAGAAAAAAGAAAAAAAAAAAGGAAAAGGAAAGAAAACAGGAAAAAGAATTTTTTTTATCTTCTTTATTATTTAATATCCTCAGAAAGAAAAGTCTCTTTCCCTCTCTCTCTCTCTCTCTCTCTCTCTCTCTCTCTCTCTCTTTTTCTGTCTCTCTTTCTCTCTTTCTTCCTCTTTGATTCTTCGTACGATATTAAAAATTCTTTCGTATCAATGTCTCCCTTCCCTCAACCCCCTCCAACCCCTCCCCCTCCTTTTTTCCACGTATGACACACAAGCCGGTTCTTCTCTTTCCTCACCGATCGTTCTACTTTCGTTCACGCGGAACCATCTAACTAAATTTTAATGCTTCGAGTAGCATTGAAATTTCTTGCCCGTGAACGTTTTTAATGTTCCTACGCCATTGAATACAAGAGCGGCATTGTCTAGGAGCCTGCTCGGAAGGCACACGGAATACGTTCGCGCGAGAAGCACTGCACTACGTACTTACGTACTTACTCAGTTACTCACTTACGTACGATAGCTAAGTCGTTTAGGATTTACGAGAGAACCAAGATAGAATCTATCGATCGTTAAGATGACGAACTATCTTTTACGTCACTCTACTTCCGCGTTTGCTTGAAAGCTTTCGACGATTAAGTCAATTAACGCGTTGTGAATGGATGAGAGTATCATTGACGGACATTTATCATTCTGTAAATTGTAATTAATTTTTTTGATTTTTTCTTTCTCTCTCTTTTTTTTTTTCTTTTTTTCTTTTTTATCTTTTAATTTCTTCTCTTACTCCAATCAAGTATATTTACTGGTTCTTAATATTGGTAAAGTTTTGATGTAAAAAAAAAAAAAAAAAAAAAAAAATAAGAAAAAAAAAACAAATGGAACGATAAATATCTCTTAATTGCAAATATTTACGAATGAGTTGTAAATTGATACGTACATTCGTGCAGAATTCGTTCGGAGTATTCCGCGTGTTAATTTCATTTTTTAAATGAGTTGATTGGCGAAATTTCACCCTAAGGAGATGAAAAACACGATATGAAATGTATAGTGTTATCCATTTATTCGTCTTAACTACTTCGATGTATATATTAATTTTTTATGAATTTCATCTTATTTTAAATAATAAGGAAATTTTTTAAATCTAATCTCTTTCTCATATTAGTTTTTCAAACAAAAAAAAGATAAAGATAACAAGCATTTTACGAATATATTTTTAAATATAACAAAGTCCGACATTTGTGAGAGCACTCGTATAATGTGGTAATTTTAGAAAAATGCTTTTGATAGAATCAAAAATCTAGATTAGATTTATTAAAAACAGATTTTCAATAATCCAAATTTTGGTAGAATACGCAAAATCAATTTGTATTATACAATAGTAAAGATGAAATTCAAAATTTCTTATAGATCTTTCTTTCGAATTTTTAATATCACTATTATCATACATCATTCTATTTGTATTGTTATTTTGGGGAATAAAACATTTGTAAAAAGTATTAATAATAGAACTTTGATTTATATTTTCTTTCATTGTTTCATCGGAAAGAGAATTTAACAAAATATAACAAATCTTTGAAACACGAGTCTTTTTTTTCAAACGTCAATTTTTCAAATGTAAATTTTTTTTTTACATATATATATATATATATATACATACATATATAAATATTATTTTTTGGTATTCGTTAAATAATAATATTTTGTTATTTTATAATACTCTCTCAATATATAAAACGGCAGGCATTCTTCCTGTTATAAGAGGTTTATCTATAATAGCAAAAACTTTTAATTAAATTTCTTCGTTGTATTGTTTTCTAAAATAAAACAGATAATGATACATTGCTATGAAACTTTATCGATTAATATCATTTACAAGAGTTTTTTTATAAACTAACATTCGAGGCGCACATTTGCCAAATCTAATAACTACACGAAACAAAAGGTTAAAGAAAATTAACAAAGTTATTTTATATGCATTATACGTCAATTATTGTTCAATAAAAATTTTCATCATTCGGCGCCATTAAAATTTGATTATTAAACAAAATTTATTTTAAATATAAAAAGTTTAACCATCTATCGAGCACTTTCGTTACTTTAAATTACAAAAATTTTGATATAACAAAATTAACCATCGATCGAGTGCTTTCGTTAGGGGAAAAAAATAAAAAAAATAAAGAAAAAAAAATAAAAAAAAAAAAAAGAGGAAAATTCTAAAAGCATCATCGTCGATCGCTTTAATTTAGAACGAACGTGTTCTCAT